TTCACCATGCAGGTGTCAGTTCATTTTGAGGTTAGACCATGTGGGATTTTTTTAAGAAGAAAATGACATTGTGATAGACATTTTTGTTAGTACTTCAGTTTCGATCCGTGAGTGATTTCACTGCCTCTGACGTGTGCGATAGGCCTGGCCAGCCAATACATTGTTACTTGTGGCGTAACCTATGACTTGGCACACAAATAAACTTGAAGTAATAAACTTATCTCTTATTTAATTACTCATCAGAAACTATTTTAATGATGTATAAGTGTCAGAAATGTATTTACCTTGTTTCAGTCTGTGTCTAATGTGTTTCTCTTTTCTTTCTGTTCTGATTTTGCAAATCAACTGGTCATGTCATGGCAGAAGGTAAAACTTTTCTCTTCCTCACACCTGTGCATGATTTGTTGCAACATTTGCATTAACTTTTCAGTTTCTGTTATTTTCTGTTTACTAATTCTGATAATGTAACATTTGAATGAGTGACAGAGTGAGTTTCAAAATTCTTAGGAATTACTGTCCTTCCTGATCCTTAATCTTTTAACTTTAAATTAAATTGTACCTTGTAGGATCTGAGGCTCTCACAGCAGTAGTGTGAAGATGGCTGTTTTCTCGGTTGTCCATACTAAATTCTGCTACAACCTGGAAGATCTTTAAATTTTACTTGCCTTCCTGGAAATAAGTGAACGGCCTCTGTCTTTGTTCTTGGCCACGTAGAATGTGGGCAGACATTGATATTTCTTTCTTTTTATCCTTCCTTCGCTTCATCTCCCTGTCATCTTTCATTTATAATGCAAGATGTTACCATCATATGGCTGCAAGCGTTTCTCCAGCTACACATTACCATCATATGGCTGCAAGCGTTTCTGCAGCTACAAATCTGTTCGATGTGTTGACAGTCGTGATTTGTTATCTGTGTCTTATGCTGTTTTGCAGGTGACAAAAGAAAGAGGAGAGCAGTTGGCAATAGAATATGGGATCAAGTTCATGGAGACGAGCGCCAAGGCCTCGATCCACGTAGAAGAAGCGTTCTTTACGCTAGCAAGGGATATCAAGATGAAGATGGAGAAGAAATTGGTAAGTTGCTTTTTTGATATTGGTAGGAAGCTTAGTTCAGTTACTTTAATCAAAACGGGAGTCACATGCTTTGTATCCCACGAAAAAAAGAAATTGAATACAAATTTACGAAGGTATGTTTTGTCACGTGTATCTTTGTTTTTAGTTCGTTTTTATATGACTGTAGATAAGTCCTGTTAATGCTAGGACACCCATCATCCGTTGTTACAATGAAGTCTTGCTGGTCGATTATGCCGCTGTTTTGGACGTTTTTCCTTTGTCTTTTCGTTTTATGAGTGGCACGGATTGGCTGCTTAGGTACCTGTTGATCTAGTGGAGCTCAGTCCTCATTGTCCAAGAAGCAGCCAAAGGAAGGAGATCTGAGTCAGTTATAGGTTGCTGACTAGTAAACGTTATTGCATTTAGTTATTGTGAGAACTCGAGATTTTATGTCATTCCACTCTCTGTGAAAAACAGTAACTATGTGATGGTAATTGTGGAATATCTTTCTGATGTGACTGTTCCAGCTGATGCACCTATTAAGGTATGATATATAGAGGATGTTCCATTTTCAGTGTGGCCATAATTTCAGTTATGTTGTCACTTGAACACTTGTCGCAGACAGACACTTCCTTGTCGTGGTATGTTTATATCTGCGCAGCTTTAGTGCATTGGTGTGAGCATTGGCCTAGCAACAAAGATGGCCTTGAATTGAGTATCAATGGGGAGGTTGGGAGAGAATACTGCATGGGGGTGGGCCTCCTCCTAATTTCGTTTTTGTACCATAGCGTGTGATTGCTGTGGGGTTGCATTTTAAATGGTATAGCCCGTCTTTATTAAACCCAGTGCACATAGAAATTACAGTTTATTATTATCATGCCTTTTAGCATTATTCTGTACAGTCAGTTTTATCAGGTGTGGCCATGCAGTACGCCAGATAGTTGGGTGCTAGCTTTTCACCATGCAGGTGTCAGTTCATTTTGAGGTTAGACCATGTGGGATTTTTTTAAGAAGAAAATGACATTGTGATAGACATTTTTGTTAGTACTTCAGTTTCGATCCGTGAGTGATTTCACTGCCTCTGACGTGTGCGATAGGCCTGGCCAGCCAATACATTGTTACTTGTGGCGTAACCTATGACTTGGCACACAAATAAACTTGAAGTAATAAACTTATCTCTTATTTAATTACTCATCAGAAACTATTTTAATGATGTATAAGTGTCAGAAATGTATTTACCTTGTTTCAGTCTGTGTCTAATGTGTTTCTCTTTTCTTTCTGTTCTGATTTTGCAAATCAACTGGTCATGTCATGGCAGAAGGTAAAACTTTTCTCTTCCTCACACCTGTGCATGATTTGTTGCAACATTTGCATTAACTTTTCAGTTTCTGTTATTTTCTGTTTACTAATTCTGATAATGTAACATTTGAATGAGTGACAGAGTGAGTTTCAAAATTCTTAGGAATTACTGTCCTTCCTGATCCTTAATCTTTTAACTTTAAATTAAATTGTACCTTGTAGGATCTGAGGCTCTCACAGCAGTAGTGTGAAGATGGCTGTTTTCTCGGTTGTCCATACTAAATTCTGCTACAACCTGGAAGATCTTTAAATTTTACTTGCCTTCCTGGAAATAAGTGAACGGCCTCTGTCTTTGTTCTTGGCCACGTAGAATGTGGGCAGACATTGATATTTCTTTCTTTTTATCCTTCCTTCGCTTCATCTCCCTGTCATCTTTCATTTATAATGCAAGATGTTACCATCATATGGCTGCAAGCGTTTCTCCAGCTACACATTTTTTATCCTGTAACTCTGTATGCATTATGATATAAGGGAGAATTAAGTTACATGGGCCCTCATGATAATTGGTTACTTCAGCACTACAGGGGAGAGGAGTAACCTAACCTCCATCAGCTGCATGTCCTTTATGTGTCATTTAACAAGCATATTTAACTTTAGCAGTTGTGTATCATATTTTTGTCAGGAGGTTTTTAGTCCAGTTACTGTTCATGTTTCATAAATTTGTTCTCACTGTTACATAATTTTCCACAAAGAAGTATTAATCATGCGTCTGTAAATTTAGTGAGCCATTTGTAAGTAAACTCGTTGTCATGGTAATGTTAAGCTTTTTAAATGGGTTACGTAACAAGTTACTCTCATTTGCTTGATAAACATTGAACTGCATATAGTTCTGTTATTCGCAGAATCATGAAAAAATTTAGCCTTAATTTTCTGAGATTGTGTAATGGTATTTTCATAGCGCAGTCAGTGCGAAGTGGTAATTTCTTAGCGCTGCAGTTCAAATTTGTGGTGCTAAATGAATTTGTTGTCTGTAATTGAGGTAGAATCTAGCTTGAGCATGTTTTAACAGTAAAATACTGAGGAGAGTATTTTGACTGACTAGAGAAGAAGCAATGACGGAATGGAAAAATTACACAGTAGCAAACTTTGAAATTGCTGTTGAGTGGTTAGCATACCCACTTCATATGCAGGATGCTCCAGGTTCAAACTTCCACATACAGGTGGCTGTCGCCACTGTTTTCGTGGCTTTCCTCAGTCCCTGTGGGAAAATGATGAGATAATACCATGAATGTGATTTCCATCCGTTTTAATATTATCCTCCCATCCTTATCTATCTATGATCCAGTATTAGGTAAAGCATATTAGTGTTGGAGCTCCTTTTTTATGTTTATCCACTATTTTATTGCTTCTCCTTTATAAGTCTACATAAATGTGAGATGGTGTGCTATATGTTGTGTCCTGACTTGTATTGAGTGACAGGGACATTTGTGTTCGGCAAATTCTGTTTTCTTAACTGTGTTTCATTTGCATGAAATAATGTATGCAACTTTTCATTTCTCTTTGATGTTTATGATGTGACGTGTTTGTATCGTGGAGTATTTGCGTGGCTTTTACTGACTTGCAGTATTTTTTTTTAATCCGTCTCTATATAGCACTTTTTATGTAGAAACGTGTTAATATTCATATACAGTAATGAAAGGAAGGATAGTGATGGATTGAAATTTATTCCACTTTTTGTGAACAGGAAGATAAGTGGAAAGGAGTTCATTCATAAATGTTGTCAGGGGAGTTAATCAGTGTTATGTTACTAGTATTAAATTGTCAACTTGTGACTCATTGTCTTGGAAACTGTTGAAGATACAAGTGAGAAATACTAAATTCGAAATTTGCAAAGAACACGTGCGTGTGTTTGTGTGTTCTGGTATGAATTACTCTATCACCTTTCTTGTTTTCACAAAGTTCCATTCTGAAAGAGAGATTTCAGTGCCAGAACATTGGCTTGCTTATCATTTTCCAACCATTCTTATGGTTTTTCATCATGTCTTCTGGTAAGAAGTTGGCGTACGATGTACGGAGATTGCAGCCACTGTTTGTTGAGGGATATCTTCCTTTCCAGGAAGCAAGCAATCCTCCGAAAGGTGGGCACCAGCTCAAATCCTACGAGCCTCAGAGAAAGCCTCCCAGCTGGCTGTCTCGCTGCTCTTTGCTCTGACGAATGGAAACATCGTTCCACTTCTGGCCTCATTTTGTTTCCTGGGCAGAAATTCGTCCGTCATCACTTCATGTTGTCCCACTGTGAAATCAAAGAAAGTTTTGATACATTAATTACAGTATTTGTAATACATAAAACCAAAATGAGGTATTGAGGGTTCTTTTGTCACAAGAAAGTACTGGGGGAATTAAAGGGTCATGTTTCTAGCCCAATATTTTGGTGCACAAGACTGACAAATGCTCGCAAGTGTCCAGATCATGTGTGAGATTTTATTTTTCTGTTGTCTCGATGAAGAATACTTGGGTAAGCACCTCTAAATAAATACTCAATACTTTAATTTAAAAATGTATTTTGAATTTGTGCTGTTTTATTATGTAAAAGGTGTTTTGTCTGAAATTATCATTGGAATTTTTAATTTTTGTTCTGGTTCCCCCACCCACTTTATACTTTGTCCTGCCTCTGGCCCGTCTCTCGCTTTTTTCTCTTTGTCATGTTTTTGTTTGCTATTTTCCCCAGGTCACATGTCAGGTTTAGGGTTGGTTTACAAGCAGAAATGTATCTAGTTCCCTTTTACACTGGCAAGTGGTTTTATGTGATAGAACTCTCTGCACAGAGCAGTACGATAAATCATGTGTCATGTATTAGTATTACTATTATGTATGTTGATAGGAGGTAAGACTACTTATTGTTTTGTAATGCAGTTAAACAGATTGAGGCAATAAATTTAGTGAAGGATTATCTTCTTCAGTTGAACGGATTTCATCCGTGCTTGAGACAGGCTGTACAGCTGTAGGTGTTGCGGGAGCAGCCATATTTACAAACTGGTTTAGAAAGCTATTTACTTTAAATGTGTTTTCATTTGCAGTAATTCTGTCTGAAAATGAGCTTGGATAACCTTATCATTGTGTAAAAGTTTACTTCCCTACAAGTTTTCAGTTTCTGTTCTTTTTATAATTTCAGATAATTGTTGTAAATGTTAACAGTTACTGCACAATGTACTTTTGCAGGCACCGAGAGATTTGTCACACTTTCGCAGAAGTTAACAAATATGACAGAGACCTCTGTTGTTCAAATAAGTTGCTTGGCCTTGCAATCTCTTGTTGTATACATTAATTTTATTAACAGAAAACTAGCCACAAAGTAGTAGATGCTTTGAGTAGTGACTGACCTACAGACTTACTGCAGAATTATTGCAGTAAAACTGTGGCCTGGATTAGATGATGGTCCGGATAAGTGAAGTGATGAACTTATTAAAACACCATTGTTAACAGTTAACAGTCATTTCAAGCCACTTTCTATGGTTTCCAAGCATAGATAAGTTGATATTCTGCTTGTATCGAACATATTTGCAAAATTTCAGTTCCAACCACTTTCTATGGTTTCCAAGCATAGATCAGTTGATATTCTGCTTGTATTGAACATATTTGCAAAATTTCAGTTCCATAGATGTCAGAACTAGATACTGCAGTAGCCAGGACTTTCCAGATTATGTAGTATTGAAATTAATAGGGTTTGGATTTGTCATCTGTGCTTTGTGCTGTTCATATGTTTCAAAAATTGGTAGACCAACAGGAAAAAATGGAACATAATTTTAATACAGAAGATGAAAATATTTTTTGGTGTTTGAGTCCATCTGTCACATTTGTTATTGCTAGAGTTAAAATTAGTTATTTTAAATTGAAAAAAAATTTAAGTAATTGTCAGAGCTGTGAGGTTTTCACAGTGGTGAAAAAGCCGTCCGTATTGGTTTTCTGGGTTGTGACACCATGAGGTCTTGTAAGCATTATTACTACAACTCAGAAGATCGCAGTTGACGGTATAAGAAAGTGGTCAAGTTGTGACACCATGAGGTCTTGTAAGCAATATTACTACAAGACAACTCAGAAGATCACAGTTGACGGTATAAGAAAGTGGTCAGTTATAATCATGTCCTGGGCCAGAAAGTTTATGTTCAGATTGGTCTAGAACCATATATGGGTTTTATGGACCTGGTGTGAGTAGAACTCAGACAAAAGAAAGTGAATCATTACATTTTTACACCCAGTAGTAAATAAATGGGTTTGAGGTAAAGTAAGAGGTGTTGTAAGCAAAATGCAAGCAGTGCATAATTACAAAGGAAGCCGCTCTCTCAGTTCACTTTAGAGTAGAAATCTCACTTATTTATAAGTTTGTTGAACTCTGCACTGATTTTGAGAGTGGGAACGGAAGATGTAATGTAAGTCGTCCTTCTCCCAGTGCCATGAATACTGGATGTCAAGTAAAAATTTTGATTATGTGGTGGCTTAAAAATAACTCCCTCAATTGATGCTTACTGATCCTAAGTGAGTTTTGATTGATTTAATTTTTCATACTCACTGGTATTTGGATTTGAGGTAAAAAAAAGTTTAAAACTGAAATTATTTTTATACAAAACACATAAACATGGTGAGTTATTTTTGGGTACACCTTTTGTAACATTTCCTCAAGTTTTGTCAATCACTTTCTAGTTTATAAGGCAACATACAATTTGACTTGTGCGCTTGCCAAGTATCAGTTTGCCAGACTTTGTGCGACAGGATCCCGGAGTGTGTTCACAGGTTCTTGAGGGCTCCTGAAGCCAAAGGTCAATTTCACTGAAGTCTGTGGTGAGGTGGTTAGGATCCTTTTGTCCTCAGGGTTCAGTTGTAAATGTGGAGGTTGGCTGTCATTCTTTTGCCTCTCCAACAATATGTTGGACTTGTGGTTTGACTAGTCACAATTTTTAACAGTTTGTTACACTTGTAAATGAAAATTCTGGAAATTTTCTTTAAATACTTGAACCCTGAAGGAGGAGGCAGAAAGGTCTTGTAAAATGTATGTTTACCATTTTGTTGTTGCATTAAATTGGGACTTCCAACTGAATACCCTGAAACCTCGTTTAGTTTGGAGAAAATGAAGTGTAGAATTATTCGTAGCATTCCATCTTTACTGCAGTGAAATTTGAACATTGTAGTAGCATGATAGAAATTAGACTATGAACGGCCGAGATGAAATTTTTTATGATGAATGTGGAAGTAATAGATTTAAGTCTGTGAAACAAATCTTGAAACGTCATCCAACAGGAAGAGAATAGCTTAATCACCTGATGAGTAGTATTTTTATTTTCTGTGTAATACATAAATGACTTGATACATGTAGCTTTTGTCCTCAGGGCTCAATATTTTCAGATTAGAAGGGTTCTGCAGCACACAATTTGGGAACCACTGCTGTTAATAATAATCTCATGGATGTTCACTCACTTCTGGCAATAAATGCAAGTGTTGCACATTTTATTGTCCGTTTCATCTGCGTTTGAAGCTTTTGGTTACGAATAGCGGCCTGCACCAGTTAACACTTTCTATAGTAGCGTCTGATGGCAGTTCTACTTTTTCCCGTAAGATGGCAGGTGGCTTGTAACGATGAATTTACACAGTGGAGTTAATCTGTGATACTTTTATCATTTGGTGCCTCAGTGACTGACAACTTTTTTGTTCTTGTTGTGCCTTAAAATAGTCCATGACCATATTCTTCTTCCTGATGATGATTTGCAGTTGTCCTATTTTACACTTCTGTGGCCTGTCTAGTTGAATAAACATGAAATAACCCAAGGTCCAGGCAGATACAAGGATATTTGTATTAAATCTATCGCATTCCTTTATCACTGCACGGTTTCCTGTTCCACTTGTAGCGAACGTTTATGGCTTTCATGATAATGATAACTGGCTAGGAAATTTAACACACATTAGTTTTCTTTGAAAGATTTGTGATTTAATCAAAACAGATGCTGACTTGTATGTGCTGAGGCACTGCATTATATACAGTTAAGGTTTATTTAAATAAATAGACTGAGGAAACGTGTCTGATGTGTGGGAGATAACTGGTTTGAGTCTGGCTGGGGACCACTGTTGTGACATGGGTTTTTCACAGGTATTTAGATGGCTCATACAGGCTGCCATATTGGTATAAAAATTTATGATGAGTTTTTAATTCCTGGTGGTTTGAAAGTTTGGTTTATGAAGAAGACTGACATACATTTACAAATTAAATAAAGATAATAAACATTAAATAGCGCCACTGCTGCATTTTATTCAGTGCTTTTTGGATATTTTCAAGAGCTGTGATCAACAGTTGTTTAATTATTTATTAACATTGCACTTATGTTTAAATACATGTATATTAAAACATTTCAAAACAAATTTTAGGATGTGATAACAAGAGATTATAACTAATATGTCAACACCGTTACTACTGACACATATGTACATATTATAGAAGCATGTGCTTATTAAGAATCCTTGAGGCATGTGCTGATAGACCAGCCAAGGATGAGACGGTCGAACCCACAGGAGAAGAAATTGCAAGAGAGGTTTGCTGAATCATCTCCCCATGCCACACAACTCACCATACGCCGGTGTCCCTACAACACACATATAAGGTATGTTACTATATTTTCATATGAGGAGCCCAGGTGGTCTCTGTTGATAATCCGAGCAGGTCATGGCAGTAGTAATGATCTAGAATTGTATTTGGGATGTACAAAGTTGGTTTCATTTGACTCATATTTGTCAGTACTTGGCTCTTAAGAAATGAAGTTGCAGTTTATAGTAGTATTTGCAGAAAATGGTCATTAGGAACAATGTCGAGTCATCACTAGTATCAATGCTGATCTCTACACGTCTCGAAAACTGTCTCGTTCCTCATCATGACATTTTACTGTTGACATTTATAAATTCTGATGCAGAAAGACTTACTGCTGGAACCTTAGTAAGTTTGTTCACCTGTCTACTTGTTCTAGGCAGTCTGGCAAGCCGCTGACCACCTAGATCGAAGAGTCGCACTTGTCTGTTGTCGTGAGGAATAGCCACTACTCCGGTGTTTGAAACGGCCAGGCGGTTTGCTGCCGAGTCAGATCGGATTGTTGCGAGTGAGGACCGCATGTTGCGTAGGTCCCATACCTTGACACTTCTGTCATCTGATCCTGACACCACTTTGTCTTCCCTTGTGAACACTGCACATGTCACTGTCCTGCAGTAAAGACATTTCACAAACTGAAATTGAAAATTATTGTAATTGACATAAAAATTACTAAAGTAAAGTAGAGTAGTTCTACGAAGTACATAAGAAACGCACGAGAAGGGAGAAAATCTGAAAGAGATGAAGGTATAAACTTAAAAATAGCTGGTGAAATTAAGGAAGATGTGATATACATGTAGGACAAGAGAATTCCTTTGGAAGTCCAAGAAAATATGGGAAAAGAATAAAGAAACTAAAGACTAAGAACAAAGTAGAGACAAGATACAAGAGGAATGCTTATTGGAGAATAAAGACGCATGGAGAAGGCTTCATCCTAAGGTGACCCATCCTGTTGGAAACGTCAATGGATGATGAAATAACCTGACAGTTACTATAAGTTACGTGGCAGAGGAAAGATTGTACTGGATGAGGAGTAGGAGATGAGGGCCTGTTTTTTTGTATAATACTGGAAATTGCTTGGACAGAAGACAGGTAAACCACAAAAATGATTAACCTCCTGAATGTGAAATAGTTTCATCCATAAGAGGAATGAAAAACAGTACTCACTCTGTGTGGCCCTGGAATACCGAGACGGAATGGATCGGCTCACGAAAATCCCACAGCCGAAATGTGGAGTCCCGTGATGATGTAACGACAAGGCGTTGGGTAGGGTGGGATGAAGTGTGAGTCAGTTCCTGATCGTGACCTGCGAGGACACAGTACAACATAACTGCTTTCACCGGAAAACTGTGCACCCACCGAACACAGAGCTCTTAAATCTGCCATCTGCATGGTTGTTCCTCATGTACCACAAATACTGATGCCACTCCAGGGTACATGGTTTGCAGCTAACCAAGAATTTTCTGCTGATTAGTCCTGAGTTGTTCAAAGCGTTTTGGACGTAAATGGATCTTGGAGAAACAGATTCCAAGACTTCTACAAATATGACTAACCTTCAGGTTCCATGATGAAATTTCTTACCAAACAAGTGATTGTACATTTAACATTCCAGAACTTGTATTTGGAAGATAAACACCTCTAATCTGAGCTATGTTACTCGGCTGATTTATGTTCCTCACTCTTTTGACAAATGGCAGGACCACCTTCAAAATGACCACAAGAACCATTTATAATCATCTTCCCATCCTCTGCAGTATCTGTTCTTAGCTCAGAGTAAGAAACAAAGTTCCACACCCATATAAACAAAAGGTAAAATTAGTTTTGTGTATTGCAATCTTTAAGCATTCAGGATGATAAAAAATTCTGAATGGATTGGTGTCTGAATTTCATCTGCTCATAATTTAATTTCTAATGTAATTCTGATTCATTACTATTGGTTCTAAGTGTGTTTAAATTTGCCATCTCACTGGAGGATAACTCTGTTACGTTTTGTTCTGTATAATGTAAAGATTATTTAAATTAACAACACACCCACCACTAAGCGACTGTAGCAGTTCTCTGGTTTCCACGTCATACAGGCTGGCTGTTCGATCCCACGAGGCTGTAATGACCTGATCACCACCAGGCAACCAATCTGCTGCCATCACAACACCCGTATGACCTGTAAACTCACAGACAGGAGTGCGCAGACTTGGCATTCCCTCTGATGTACCCACTTCCTCCTCATACTCATCTTTCTCACATAGATCTATGTCTTCTTCTGACGAGTGTCCTTTCTTCAACATACAAGACAGGATATGGTGATCATACAGGTAAAGTCATCCCAGTGCTTTGGCAGCATCTTGCCATGGAGGCATTTAAGGGTGTGGCCTGACTGCTTTGCCTCTGGGGATTTTAAAGAACTCTCCTTCAGCCCTTACAAATCTCCATGGCAGAGTGCTTATGCACAGAGATAAGTTTTATATTAATAATGAAAATGATATATTGTCTTTAGTTTACATAAAGACTGAGAATCCTCACATTATGCCTTCTTACTTGTTGCTGCTTGGTGACATGAGTCATAAGGAATGGGATCCGGTGCCACTTACCGCCTGGTCCCACGTGACCACAGCTTGCCACACGTGAGCCGTCTGGTCACCGCTGCCTGTCAGAACCAGGTCTCGGCTGGGGTGAAAACGAATAGAGTTGACAGAACCCGAATGTCCCTGGTACTGGAGTAGACATCGACCTGTCTCGATGCTCCACACACATGCAGTGTGGTCTGCAAATAATGAAAGACAATTCAAAAGTGTTTTTTATTTTATCTCTTTAAGGCACTTCAACAAATAACAGTAAGATCTGGAGTGCAATAGTTACACAAAAGGCAATGAGTCGTGCAAAAATACGCTCTGCAGGAGAATGATACCAATGCAAAGATTCATGGTAAACTGTTACAGAAATATTGTCAATTATCTATAAGGTAAAGACTGATACTGTATCCAAGCTCCAAACCCTGGAAACTAATGAGAAGTGGCACAAGATTGTGGCGAGTGTCAGCTCATAATCTGGCTGCTATCCTCGCAGCAAGAGCCGGAACACCCACAATGGATAGGAAGGTGGCATCTCAGAACTAATCTCAATATGGTGGCAAAGACCAAAATCACCGTCCCTTCCAGAATGAAACCAATGTTGTCCGTTGTCCAGTCTGTAGCCATACTGACTTACCCTGGCTCAACTTGTGGTCGTCTGGGTTGTGACACTTGTGTGGTTTATTTGCAAGTTCCTGAGGTATCGTTTAGTACCCTGAACATTTGAGATGTGGACCCACCTGCTGCAGCTGTCCCAATAATGGGCTGTCCAGCACGAGCTACAGCCACATCCCATATCCCATCCTTGTGGCCAGAGTACTCTCGTACAAGAGAGCAACTTACAGTGGGCCCTTTGAAACTGGACACAATCTTGCTTGTCTGGGCCTTCAGTTTGTGTGCTGTCTTGATTTTTTGGGACCCAGATCCTGTAACAGCTGAATAAGAAAAATTGTACTTAAAATGGTGTTTCCTGCATAGTATGCTGCTTTATATATGTGTCCGACTTCTTTTATGACAGTTGAACCTGAAAGTTCAGCACTGTTAATACCAAATACCACCACTGGATATGATCCCAAGCCTGTCCCAACTACCTCACGTACTTGAAATTAATTTCCACCACCTTATGTCTCTTCCAAGAGTATTCTGTGCCAAATTCTGTATGAATTTTTCATCTCTGTGTAATCAATTTCATTATCCTAACAATATTAGGAAATCTAACAAATACTAATGTCCCGAACTGCTCTTACTTCATGCTGTGTTTTGTTTTTCAAACATTTTTGTTTGTCTCTTTCAATAAGAGCACATCTCTAACCTGTATGAGACAAAATTTTACTTTATTACATACAGACACATGCCTTATCTTCAGCATGATAATCAAACAGGATATTTTTTAACTTAACAAGAGTTTTCAGAATTTACCTTACTTTTTTACACATCTGAACTTTCATATTTTTATTTTGTGATGACATGCACACACAATTAGACACATGTGCATAATTCATTACTCACATTTCTGTTTAGACAAGCTCTTGGATGAAGAATTATCAAAATCTGTGAGGTCATAACTCTGCTTATCGCCAATGAATGATTCACGCTCCAGCTTCTCATTCAGATTTTCAATCTTTTCTTGCACTGAAAATTAAAAGTGTTACAAAGGGAATGCAAAAGAAGAATCATGATTGTTCATGTCACTATATGTTACTTACAATTCACATTTTCTGTGTACAAAGTTTCAAATTCCTTCTCAATCTGCAGGAAGAGTTCGTGAAGCCGAGCTCTGCAACAAGATTCGTTAACTGAAGTTCACAAAGTGTTGAAATAGCAACTGCTCCACATTTCATCTCTTTGTTAATGAAGACAGGATCATTAGCATCGCCACATATATGACATCGTCCTGAATGAATATTGTGGTTTAGTTGTTGGTATTAACTAAAGACTCAGAAAACCCCCCAGGATAACTATCCTCAAGACCAAGAACCTCCCAAATGTGCAGCAGATGGGCAAACTATGCAATCATGATGTGATTTTTATGTCACTGTACAAACTGTGTGTTGGTTTCGTGGTAAGGTACTGGCTGCCTACAGGAAAGGTATAAAGTTTATGCCAACTTCTTACTAACCTAAACAACGGTGGAATCATGCTGTCACCATCCATGTCTGTGCGAAAACTGTGGCTCTGAAGGTTGTGAATTTCACTCTCTGCGCTACTTTGTACTCGGGGAATGTTAATACGCTTGCTTTTAGGTTTTCCTGCGTGATTCTGTACAACGTCCTGTGGCATGCTGATTTTAGATGAACGGCCTCTCACAAGAATAAAGTCGTTCAGGGAATTAATCAGCAACTAAAACAGAGAGAACAATACTAATCGCTGTTAACCTTGGCCTCAAGAAATATTTAATGTATGTATTTCGCCCTGTAATCTGAAATATCTATTTATACAGCACACATTTCGATACGTCACTCTTAATGGATGTTCGTCATAAATTTCATACCAATAGATTCTTCTCTACAATTCTTTATCTTTCGATACATTTAAACGAGTAATAATACGACACTTCGTATAGAACAGCAAACCATCTTGTTATTGATGTATTTATTTTACTACACTTGTGGGAATTCATTTAGTGCAGACCACTAAAATCCCCTTCTGAGGGAAACTTGTATTCATTCCGGTAGGATTAATGTGCAATCATCATAGGTGAATTGTTCCATACATCTCAACGAAGACAACATGATTAATATCTTTCTCTTCTGTTAATAATGTTTTGAGAGTAGTATATGTAAAGTTATGCTTAATTTTGATGTTTTATCGCGTTAATTTACATTTCATACTAAATTTCTGAATTAAACCAAGGTGTAGGTAAAACATATCGAACCAGATTTAAATGTGCATAATTTCTGAACGAAATTGAAAATGTAGTGCGTTTCTTGAAGATAAACTATTATACATATCACAGTAGAAGGGACCAATACGTATTATATTTTGGCATGCATACATATTTTAAGTTTTGAAGTTTCTGTAGTTAAACTGGTGATTTCAAAATTAGTATGTAATGAAATGTTTAATGACCGACAAATGTGGTTTCCCTCCCATATTACGTATGTTCGAACTTACTTTGGTTTATTCATTTAAAATGTAAAGTATAAGAATATGAATCGGAAATGTAGTATGTTACATTTCCACTTAATTAGTAGTAAACGTTCTTTCATACTATTAAGTTCCTGGTTCCCTGTATTTGTTGATATTGCATGTTTTCAAGTAAAGGCCTACAACACAAAAATAACAATGGATCCTTACGCGGCAGCCATTTTGCTGTAAATTTCTGACAATTGTTCTGAGTTCTATCAGATTATGTGAATAACTTTAGCTCAAGTTCTTGGACTAATGAAAAATAATATTTCGTGTAACAATTGTGTATGTTTCAAGAGCATTAGCCTAAATGAAAACAAAATCGTAATACTGAGCACTGACCCTAGTAAGTATCACCCTTTATAGGCCTACTAGCCTGGTCTAGGCCTATGACTGAATATTTACTTTTAAAGTGGTCATTGTGTTTTGAAATGTGCGGATATAGTGCGCAGCACTAGTTTATTGAATACATTACGCAGTTATTTTCTGTTTTAATTTTATTGAAGTAACACTATTTTTGAATCGAAGCATTAAAGTACCTATTTCACAGTTCTAACCTAACTTTTAGACACTTGAATTTCACTTTACCTGTATAAATCTTGCATCGTACATTGGGACTTAAAGGACGTTTTCGTAAGGTAACATTACTGTACTTTCTCCCATTTAAGTAGGAGCAGTTCTGTAGTTTACTAGATAAAGACATGTCACGCACATAATTCGAATGTTCTACCAAAACATTCGAGATTAAGTAATTGTTGTGTCTGTGTAGGAGTTGCATTGTTTGGGTAGTATTTTGATTCCTTTTGTACTGGATTATGAAATTTATTTAGTTTGTATTGAATTTGTAATTAACGTGGTAGGCCAATGTAATCATTCCATTGCATATGAAAGTTGACTTCTTGTTTTGTTGTTATCATTAAAGACTATGTGTATGCCAAAGGACTACTTTCACCAGCATTTAATTATTTTTAATCCACTGAAGTTGAAGATTTCTAATACAAAAGCACTGACAAGCTCAGTCTATCCAGTTCATACTGTCACAGCCTTCCCCTTATATTATTCATACACAGGAAGTTTCCACAACAAAATTTTGTATGAATTTTTTTGCCTTTCATATATTTGAGTTGTATATGTCCAACTCATCTAATTCATCTAGATATTTGGAAGATTTCTGGTCTTACAAAATGTACTTCTGTAAGTTTTACATTTCTAGGTAAGTACTGAGGACAGAATAGTTGGTGGTTTTATTTAGCTTTCCAATTTTCAGCATTTTCCAACAGTCACATTATTTCTTCATACTTGTTGAAAACTATATTTTAAAGATGGCCGTGCATGTTTGTTTATAAGATTATTATAGAGTAGAATAGAATTTGTTTACATTCCATAGTTCCTTCATAGGCTTAAGCCAAGGAAGTGTCTTGATTGGTTGATGGATTTTTAATCTAGTAAACTGCTGTTTATGTGTGACTGTCTTCCAGCCAAATAATGCAATCAGAAACAAGCAGGTTGAAATACATGACGTTCCCTCCCCTCTTCATGAAAATCCATAATGACGTATTTGTCAGAGTCTTTGTTGTTGAGAGCAGGTTACATTGTTTTGAGGTGAAGTGGGCATAAGGTAGAAGAGTCTTTAAATAAAGAGACATGTATCATGTCTCTTATAACTCAAGATACATCTTTGAATTTTTGAGACAGAAGTTTGCTATAAGTTTGCAGATATACTTATATTGAATTTTCTTTTAGGCGACACATTGCTGACAATGTAAACTTGTTTAGAACAAAAAATGTTTTTGCGCACTTTTGAAGGGGGCTTCAGAATTAATGATCCCCAACTTGGAGCAGGAGAGTTAACAAGGTACATTTTTAATTTATTTTTAATCTGTGGTGTAACAGCCCTCTGAGAACCAAAGCCGACTAGCTGACTGCTGGCCTCATGTTCTCGTGCCTAAGCAGAGGTGAACGATCATCCAACCATTTATAGGGTGACGTGTGGTCAGCACGACGAATCCCCCAGCCATTGCTAGTTTTCATAACCAGATTACGCTACCCATTGTAGCTCCCCAATTTCCTCATGATGCTGGGTTGGCACCTGTCCCATACATTGGTCGAAAATTTCATGTAAAATTTCTATTCCTGAGGCTCGAACCAGCGCGCATTCCGTATCACCGGTTCCAAGCATAATGCCTTAGACCGCATGGCTACGGCTTACTTACCGCCTCCATTATCAGGGTGATGAGTCATCACCATGGTGGTGGCAGCTGTGAGCACCCGTGAAACATTGGTCAGTGTATACCAGACCACACTGCAAAACATCCCAGAAGACATGTCTTGTTTCTGAGCGGTTGGGGTGTCAGAACCGGACATGAAATTCTTGGTTCTTGTAGTAACACTAATGTGTCATATGTTGTGTATCAAGTGTGCTGTTTCCCAATATGTTAATGGGTTGAACAAACTGGGATGGGCGCCTCAATGTGATATTGTGCTTTTGATTGAAGAAAACATTATGATGCAATTAGAGGTACAGTGTAAACATTAGCGCAGTTTCAGATCACTGAACTACACTTATATATGTCATCTTGATTAGAGATGGCCAGTTGAGCAGAAGTGAAGTGGAATTTAATTTTAACTTTCTTTCAAAGCTTGTTAACATTTTGGCTGTAGAACTTGTAAGGAACAGATGACTTTTGAGACCAGGAGTCAAGCATTTAGCATTATTTTGTTTTCAGGACATCTGGATTTATTTTTCGGTCTAAAGGCCAGCAGTCCTCAAGTGTTCGTGATTCGTCTCAGTCTTTCAAATCAGTTGCTGGAATGTGATCTTCACATAGGCCATGACCACTTTCTTCCATATCCTGAAAACATAAACATTGCATTTAAGTATGATTATGAAGGAATTGTTAAATAAGGTAAAACACAACTGTTGTGTTTTGTTACGTAATCTCATAAGTTGAAACAATCAAACCTCCATCAGAATGTTAGTGAGCAAGTTGGGTGAAATGGTAACATTCAGGTCTCGCCAAGGACAGTGGTAACCGAGACTGAAATTATGCGTGGTTTTCCTTTGTCCTTCCAGGAAGATGGTGGGATAACAATGCTTCTTCCATCACTGACTGTGAACACATCCTGCGCTGATAAGCAACCGAAATGTTTTGTCATGCACAAAAAACACCTGTGCTTGCTGCTGGAACGCTTTTGTTGCTATTGTTGATAATTCATAATCTTTGTCTGTGATTCTTAAAAATAAACTTTGGCCTTAGGTGGCGGTTCTTAACACCTTAAAGCCTATTGGCAAATATTTGTACCACCTGGTTTCAGTAGCTGCATTTTTTTGAGTGATTCTCAGTGTAAACAGTGATTATTTCCTTAAACAAAATTAACCAGTTGTTCTTTTTTAATGGTGAAGTGTTGTGTTTTCTTTGTGGTATGGATTGAATTCTTAAATATCATTTAGGCGAGCTTTAGCTTCAAAGGGCAAGGTAAAATGTAAGATTTGTTATAACTGGATTTGGTGATTTAGAATTGTTTATTTCTGCCATTCATATGTTCACACAAATCTGCAGATGTAACCTGTATAGGAAGGTAATTAATAACTTGATGTCACGTAGTGATTATTGCATTTTGGAAGATGGATTTCGTGGCTAAACAAAGGTCGGCAGGTCATTGACTCCATGGTTGTTTATTTTTATGCTAATTGCCTGCACATCATCACATTCACTCAGTTTATACAGAAACCTCATAGTCTTCCTCAGTCTCTTCGGGTTGTGCAATTTTGACTGCAGTTCAATGTGGTTTAATTTTATGAAGAGCATTTTTGGTCGTAACTGTATGCCGATACATTTGGACAAGGTGAAACTACGTACTAGCTCACGTCATGTGAAGTCCAGAATTGGTCAGAAGGATGTCATTCCTTGCTCTTGACTCACCAGTCACTTGATGTCTGATTCAACGATGACAGGTTTCAGTCTTATCTGCGGTCTGCGTTCAATCATTTGCCTGTTTTCAGCCTTACAAAACTTGTTTAGCTTTTATGGTTTAATTTAGTTGTTGTACCTTATATTGTTTAATGCAGTTGACCAACTACTGTTACTTAGTGAATAGCAGTATGGGTTTGAATCTTGTCCCACAAGGTCACTAATATTTTTGCGATCTTCTAGTGTCCTTACAGATAAAGGCTGGAATGGATCCCTGATTTAGGTCTTGCCCACTTCCTTCTCAGTTCATCATTCATTGTCATCCTACCATTTACCACTGAAGTTTGCAAGGTGTAACCAAATATTTAGTGAAATGCAAACTTAAAAACTGAAGGAAGTTATTGTTCAGCTGGTACCTGTCTGGTTAATACCCTAACGCTTTTGAGACCCACTGTCTGTGTTATATAATTCCTATTAGTGTGATAAACAGCTTGTTTTGTTTCAGGTATGGATACAAATGCATTTATATGTCCATTCAACTATAGCAGTATTAGTATGTGCATTAAAAATGGGAGAGTTGATGTAAATATATGATCAGTGTAAGTAATGTAGATCCCTTTTATTTGATAGTTGTGTTTCGCTCTGCAGTGGTCGTGTGTGTCAGATGTGTGGTTTGTACCTTAGATTGTTTCGTGCTGTGATGGTCACAGCCATACTGAGTAGCTGCAGTCTGTCCAGTGTGTTCAGTACAAATTCTGTCATTTTTTATCTCTAAGTCACCCGTTGATTTAAAGATATGAATAATGTGTTTTAAGCTGCATTGCAGCGTTCTTTGATCTAGTGACACCCGTCCATCCAGCCCTCTTCTTCCTTCCTACACCAACAAGGAGGTTGGTTTAATGGTGTTCAGGATTACCCATTTTGAATCTCAACCAGACTGCTGCAATTCTGACATGTTTCTTTGGTATTCCTGTCTCTTCAGTTGAATGTCAGAATAATAAGCATACATTGAAATATGTCATGATTGTGCCCTAATCTTTGTGTACTCACCATTCATGGACACTTTCCCATGCCACAGAACAGTGTGAAAAAGAATCTAGGAAACAGTGAACCCACGTCACTTAACTCTTTGCCTGATCCCAGGAAATATTTGTATTCAAGTTTTTTTATTTTATTTTCTCATCGTTCTTGAGTTTGAAATTAACACTTCTTGCGCTGTTTCTGTGTTTTTCTGTTATCAATGAACTCCTTGAAATGTCACACTGGACACTCTAGCAACATTTATAGTATGGAAACTGCATTTTTTTATGTTTGTTATTATGGTCATGAGGCAGAGACCCCCCCTTGTGAATGCAGAGAAAATCAAGAAATTTGGCAGAGAAATTGTGATTGTTTCAGAACAATGGTGACTGAGGTAGTAAGCAGTTTGAGAGCTGTTCTGTTGGTTGTGCGCGGCTTGATTGCAGGGAGACCACGTCAGCAGATAAATGATGCTACAAAATGAAACAGAAATGTACAATTTGGGCCTGGGAGGAAATGCAAGGTGTGTTGTGAACTTTCTGCAACTCTCATTGAGACATTTATTCATTCATTCAACTGCCAGTCGGATAAGTATTCCCAAATCTAACCTACTATATCCGACCTAGTTCACATAGCAACGCACACCAAACACTTCTCATTAAAATAGATTATACCATGCAGTTACTCACTGTATGTTTGAATCTTCAGGTGTCATAACAAGGAATGTCTCAACCAGTTCACTATTGCTCAGGGAACATTATATCTCTGTTGGTAACAACATAACTTTATAGATGAACTCTCTGACTGGCAGGTATTGTAACGGTCACATGCAGGTGGCTGCTAGCATGGCAACAAAGAAGGAGTGCAAGAGCAAGAAGGCAAAAATGGTACCGAGCAAGGATGACCTCCCATCGCCCACTTCTCCTTCACTGGACGGTCGCCTCAAGTTTTCAGACAGACTGAAAGCTCTCCTGAAGTCTGGAGCCTCTGGTGCCGGTACAGGCGCATTCAACGTGGCAGCGTCGGTCAAGGACGAATCTGTTGATCAGCCAGATGATCCTTATGCATTCAGTGAACCTGAGCCCCAAGTTCTTCATCTATATCAAAATCCAAACCCAAATCATACTTACTCACGTCGCTGTGTTACATTAACGTCTAAGGTGCAACAACCTTCAGCCTCTCCAAAATCTAGTAGTGGCAATGCAGTTAAAGTCATGTCACCATCTACATCAAATAGCAGTGATGGAAATATTGGAAGATTATATCCGGCGCTGTCAGCATCTCTTGGACAGTTATTTTCGTCAAATTCTTTGGGGTTGGACCCATCTGTGACTCCTCAGATACAGCCAAAGAACATTGTTAGTGCTGGTGAAAAGGTGTTGGATGATGAGAGTTCTAAGACAATGAATAGATTACAAGCTAAGATAGCTAGGAACAAAGTTATAGGCAAACATAGGAAAGTTAGGACATCAGGTCGAAGCTCTGACATGTCTCCTCACGGCACCTCATTGGCCGCCTCTACTGCTACCAGTACAGGCAAGAACATTTCCGGTGCTCGGGGCTTATGGCCACCTCAGCGTGAGAGGAGTTTGCTAGAAGAACAATTGCTGGGACTCAAACCAGAGGTGTTACTGAAGAAAGAGTCGGAAAGTCCTCCCTTATCATCTCGACACGCGATTACCTACAGACCTCAGATGTTGAATCATTCGTCCCACGCGGTGATGGCCACCATTCCTAGCAAGAGAAGGAGATGCAAAGTCATTTCGAGGCAGAATGAAGTGCCAAGACATGAAGCATTGCAGCGGATACAGTCGGTACAGAAGGCACTGAGGGAGTACAGGCAGGATCTGTATCCATTAGGTAACATTTCACGCATTTTAAGCTATTGTGTTCTTGTTAAACCTCACGCCTGCCTGCTTCTAAAAGGGCATGACATGTATTTATTAGGTAGTATTGCAAACTTTAAAGCACTTGTGTTCGCCCTTATTTATGAAGAGGATGAAGCTACTCATTTGTTAGAGATGGCTATCATAAGTTTTGTCATGTAGTCTGATAGACGTTTACTGACATTTCAGACATGCACCCTCCATCATCAGGCGGTGAGCACTTCTGAAACATCAGCAGTTTTCTACCAAACATGGCACAATAACCCAGAAGACAGCCATCTTCATACTTACCACTATATGAACCCAAAATCTCACTTAGTTCTTCGTATTTATTGACAACTTAATTTCGTAGTCATGTGATGTGCTCTCTAGGTTTGTAACAAGTGGAAAAGTTTTTGAACTGTGGAAATACTAAATTGCCTGTGCTATGGAATTAGTTACCATTTGTATAGCACTCACTGGTGTTTTGGACATCATTCCTTAGCTTGCAGATGGCATCTTCTGACAGTCTGCGTGCCATTACAATCCAGAAGGCCAACTTCAGCACCTACAAGATTGTACGGTGACTTCGACATTTGACGTTTCTCCCTCCATGGGAACCGCAAATCTGATAGGTTCCTCATTTGCCCTCATTCTGACTGCAGGTGTGGAGGTGTCCGACAGTGAGGAGAGTGACTTAGAGGAAGCGCCTGTCCACCAGAGGCACTGGTTCTCTGCATTCCTGGAGTCTGGGTTAGCATGTGAGCGTGAAAGTCGTCTGGGGCAGATTAGAGCAGAACTGCGCAGGAGGGTGAACCAGACTTGGAGGGGCATGCCTACACCCCAGTTAGGCCCTTACGGGAGAAATCAACATTCGAATGTGCTGGTGGAAGCTCTCTTGGATTCGGCGCGGATGCATCCTAGTCAGGCGGCTCTCTTCGTGCAGTTGTCGCAGCACGGGCAGAGCTGTCATAGTCATATGAGGCACAACAGGTTGGCATGACTGTGTTAACAATGACATATGACATTGTACTTCACATTGACGTATATTTTTAAATTTGTATGCATTTTATAAATTCCAAATGGAGACGCCATATCTGTTATGCAAATGTCTAATGAAAATAAAGAGAAATAATACATGTTGTATGAATGTGGAAGGCTACAGGTTGAGGTTGCTCGACTTTTAAACTTAATGGTCGGCAGTTCTTTCTGCAGTCATGAAAGGTACTCCAAGTTTTAAATTGAAAGTGTCATGGTTACCAGAACTTTCTAATAATGAGATTATTTGTACTAAATTGTGTCTTGCTGTGTGCTGCTTTGATATGCTGAAGATCTTTATTAACAGGACAAGAACTATTGGGTCTTTTGATTCTCACTTTTAATTTGTAATATTTCTTGAATTTGATATTTATGTCTACTCTACGTAACTGCCATTTCTACAATTCTTCTGCACGCCAAAACATCCATCACAAGTTGTACCTAAATTCTCCTCATTGGTTCTTAGTTACCTGTAACAATCCTTATTTTACTAATTTTTACCAGGAAGCCACCCATGTTTTTTACAGAATCGTTGATATAAGCACTGAATAGGGTTTGAGTAGGTTTGTACTCCACCGTAACAAGAAAACAAAATTTTGAGTGAATAGCATTTGTGATCTCTGTGGCGTAAAATTAATTGTATCGTTGGTGCACTTCACTTACGTGTATCTGCAGATCCAAGTTGACGATGTTGGTGAAACGAACGTGCAGCTACAGGAAAGGCGAAATTGATGCATGCTCCAGCCTAGCACTTCCGTGCACACAGCACTGTGTCAGGCACATCATGTATAATGTGGATCAACTCCTGTTTGAACATTGTACGGCCAAGTTCTCGGACAACACGCAGTGCTGCGTGCCAGTGTTTGACATCTGTCATGAGCTGCCTCTCTGCATGGAGCATGCCAGGAAACGGGTTAGTCATAATCTTTATATAAGCTTGTATACAAAAGGGAGTGAAAGAGTGGCTTATAGTGAGCATTGTTTTAATGCAAGATTGCTTTAACGTGCTGATACTCAGAAGTGCAGAGGTGGATCTAGGACTCCATTGGTAACAAAATAATGACTACAAATGGTACATGGATACGGTCTGACTTTTGTGTGAATGCTTTATGAAACGGTGAAAGTGTACGTAGACTTGAACTGAATAACCTGCTCCCTCATTCCTTAAGGAAGTATGTTTTCAGTCAGTTCTTCGTTGATGCTGTTGTGTTCCTGAAATGAAGAGCCAGTTTTCTGTAAAGGGCATTGAACAGTAGATCTAAAGTGTATACTGTGTATAGTTGTATATAATGTTTTGCTAAAATTGACTCTTATCATTACCTTGCTGATATCTGCCAAACAAGAAAAGCATAAGTGATGGCGAGACTATTTATTTTTTATTTAGTGTTCTGTCTGACGACAGGTCCATATGAACAGGATCCTTCCATCCTTTTCTCGGACTGGGACCTGTTCATATACGTTCTTGGCAGATGATCCAGAAGTGGTTTGCCATTGCCTTCTTCTGTGTGTGAATGCCACGGAGAAACCGGGGAAGCCCCCGGAGGAAAACTCTCAGTGTTGACTATATAAAGTTATATTTATTTCTGCTTCATTCCTGCCCCAGATGGCTGAAGATATTTAGGAATTATATAGCCTTTTTGATAATATTAAATTTCAATTGTGTTACGTGTGAGGTTTTCAAACTTGTCTACAGGCTGTATCATCTGTCATCATCCCGAATTTGTTTTACTGGAGTGGGGTGAGGGTCACCGGTCGGCCACAGTATACATTTTATGCCCGGAAAAAATCGCTTTAGAGCTAACGTATCAAGTAACCATTTGTCAGCCTTCTTGTCAGATTTCGTCTTTTTCTGAGCTTTTACTCTGCTCTTGATGTTTTCCCTTCTTCGATATAAACGTGAACTTAGCTGTAATGAAGTAACAGTTCTGTTCTGTACCACAGTTTGAAAGCCTCTGGAATGGAGAATTTATTTGAATGATTGTACATGATCATGGAACATTTAATCAGTGAAGAGGTAATGACAGGGCTTGTTCCAGGACAACTATGACAAGATGTGTGCAGAAATAAAACCAAAGAAAGTGCGTAAGAAGGCCAAACCATCGGCCATGACTCGGCCCAGTAAGCGAGGGAAGAAGAAGCGTAGGGTACATCGCCCATCAGAGCCTCCCTCTTCTGGCTCATTGGATGTACAGGTTGATCAAGAGGAACCTTGTGGTGAGTAATTGAGTGTCCCACACTTTTTATATTGTACTTCAGTTTTCATCTTCTGTGTCTTATGTCTGTCACTTAGAACTCTCAGGAGTCCTAAATATTTTTTGATTTGTAAAAGTTTTATTAATACATAATTTTTTTTGTGGTGGTGGTGGTAGTAGCCATTTTCTTGTTCTCTGATGGACAAGTAATTACATATTTTTGTCTCCGCCATCTTGACCGCTTAGTGGGCCATGAAATTTGTGTAGAACACATTTGGTTTTAGTAAATTCTTGCAGCCAGTTTCCCATATTTCTGAAGCCATATTTTGTACACATTTCAGATTATTGGCACACTTTTTTGATGCAAGATTTGGAAGTGTTCTTAACATCCTTACTGATGTTGTCATCATTTGCCCATAGAGATGCAGAATTTTACATACAGTTCATTCCTTCATATGTGATTACCGAAGTTCATTACGCGAATGTGACGGTTTCAGAAATGAGTGTGGAAGCATCATCTCCGGCAGAAAGTGTGGAACCTTACGTGAAGGACGAGGCAGTGGATAATTTAATTATGGCTCAGGAACCTGTGAAAGAGGAACACCAAAGTAAGTGGCCTTCGCTGTTACAATACCTTGAAGGTCTGTTTCTGAGAAGCTTCACTTCGTTGACCTAAACTTTACATTGAAACTGCGACTTGACAGTAAATGATTGAATCGAATCAGAAATGAAACATTGTTTTACACAGAAGGGAATGGAAGAAATTTGTTTTTCTTTTCTGAAACAACGTTTTATGAATGTTTGATATGAATGTTGTATATCAAGATTACGTGAACAGAGGCCGACAGCAGGTAACGTTTGACAGTTAGTGTTCAGCTCAGAGAATACTCGGGCATTCATGGAGTGGCAGTGACATGCAAACTGATTACAAAAATATTGATGTTTAAGAGCTTATAGGACAAGGGATTCTACTTGACAAAAGCAAGATTGCAGCCTGCTGGAACTGTGTGCATGTTGTGTGTGGTGAAGAAGAAATAAGCAAAATACTCTCAGGTAGTGATTGAGACATTAGCCTTTTGGGAAGAAATCACTTGGTGAATTTCTGGTGTTAAATATAAAGGTTGTGGTATTTTTATGTGTGTGGAGTTTTGAATTGTGGAATTAATTTGGGTTGTGTGTGTGTGTGCGCAGGTCTGGATCATCACCACCACAACCACCATCAGCAGCAGCAGCAGCAGGTAGAAGTGGAGGTCGAGGAAGTGCTTGCCATGGCTGAGGAGCTGCCGTTGGACACGGCGGAGCTGGCTAACCAAGCATCCAGACTCCTGGAGGAGCATGACCTCACTAATGTTCTTAACCAGATTCCAGCTGATGCTTTTAATGACCTTTTCACAGGTAAATGCTGAGCACGGTCGGTTTAAGTCAGGACCTTGGCAGTTTAGTAATTATTCTGCGTTAATATTGGATTATTGGGTGGTTAGGAATGATGAATTGTTAGAGATATGGGAAACATTGAGAAGTGACGACTCTTGAAATAAATCTGATTCACGCTGGGTCATTCCTTTTAAAACGTTTGTCTGCGTTGAATTCCACTTGTCTTACGGACCGAACTCTTGTAGATATTGTGATTCATTATTTCCCATTTTAGATTACAGAAATAAAATTAAAGTGAAGTCGTGCCAAGATGGTGGACTCTGGAAGGATTAGTTATGGATGTCTGTGTTGGATAATTAACAGATCAGTTTCCAGTCGGGACAAAGAAGAATGTGCTGATACTGGTAGTGAGTTTGAAGTTTGCTGAGGAAATGGTAATATAGTAAGAGGAGACTGTGCGTTTCCAAACCTTGTGATTTGAAGATAAGTGATGTTTAGTAATAGCACTGAGAAGCTTGTGGTTGTGTAGATGTAAATAGTTCTGTCTCTCTAGACATTTCTGTGTACTTCAGTCTCTAACTCTTTCAGGTATGTGGATTAGGAAGTAATATTTTTCCTTCCTTGTCTCCATCCATTTTTAAACACGGTCTTACAAAGTTTACTGATTCCCGAAGTATCATAATATTTCCCAGCACTGGCCGTCGGGATGGATAGCCGTGAAAGAGCAGAAACCTGTTCTGATTACTGTCATGTAAAACAAGAGCAGTGGATTTGTAGTTTTTACGTTGGTGTCTGAATATTATCTTGTATTGAAAATGTCTTAACGCTGTACCTTGTGTCTGTGCACGTGTGCGACCTCCGCTTATTTGTTCACAGAAGATAAGAACGGACAGTACGAGCCTACGCGCGAGGAAACAGAGGAGTTAGAGCGGGCCCTGGAGGCTGTCGACAAGGATGTCAAATCTTTAGAGAAACTGTCGCAGACTCAAGGCTTGCTTGTGGACACTCTGATGGATGAGCACGCTCTGGTACAGACATTAGCGCAACTTCCTACTGATGTGCCGAGTGTGATACCAGCTGTACCAGGTATTGTACCAGTGTTTGCCACGTACCACCATCACCACCATAATGGTTATGTGGTAAACTCCCCACATGCTGGTGCCATCATGGCTCCCATAACTCATCCTGTAGTAGAGACCCCCGGTATGGCCCCTACCATATCTATACAGACCCAGACTGATATGCCGTCATAGCCCATTTTGCCTCTCCCCACAAAATAGATCTGGTGTAAGGGATCTTGTTGTTGGTAAGGCCACACTTACGTTGTTAGCGTAACCATAATGCATGGGCATAAGACTTGAGTCACAGTCTGACTTCAGATTGTGTTTTAGAGGGCCTGAACACCTGCCAGGATCAAATTGTAAGTCAGATTCTGCGTGAAATGTGGTTGTCTGAATCTTAGACTGTGTTTGACCATTGACCAATGTGCAGTCATTTTAACAAATAACGTGTATAAATTTCCGCTTATGTTTTTTAATTATTAGATTTTTGGAAATTGGACTGGAACTTGATTTTCTGAATGTTAGACTGATGACGATTATTTGAACTACTGTACGCTTATGTATGATCTGAAGCTTTCGTTAAACCGCCTGACACGGCTGGTAGTCCGAGAGGAATTCATTATACTGTTCGCTTAAACAAAAACTTGTGTCATAGGCGGCCAGTGGGCAAGTGATGATGTGCACATGCACCCCCCCCTTTTCCAATTTTTTAGTGGACAAAGATATTTCTTACATGTCTTTGTTGCTTTCTGCTGCTCTTTTGTTTGTAGTATTATTCATTTATGTATTTTGTCATTACTGACTATTTTATAACTTCCAATGTTGTGAAATATTACCAGTAAAGTTTATATCAAATTAGAACAAGCACTACATTTTTAGTGCATCACGTTACTTCCCAGGCTGCATACGTCACAGGGACACGCTTAACTCTCGTGTACAGTGTAGTCATTTGAACGCGACGTGCCGTCAGCTCCATTTTTAATCGTTAAGAGTTTAATATAATTCTGAAATGTTGGACCTAATCTGACGGGTCCTGAAAGAGTTCACACCAGCAGTCTTGCATTTGCCTGTCTTCTCTGTTACTCACAAGGCATTCTTTTGATGTAAATGTCTCCTGCCAAACGGTTTTGACATTTCAGCCGTGAGAACAGTTTAATGTGTCACCTTCATGCACAATACATGTACCAGTGGTTTGTGTCTTATGCTGTGTCTTATGGATAAGCCATAATTGTGAATAAGGCCTTACTTACTCTTATGTTGGAGGTCCAGAAGTATTATTGTAAACGTAAAGCCAGTGTATGTGTTTGTGCGTGTGTGTCAAATGAACAGCTGCCAGGCTGTCGCATTGAGACGGTTTTACTTAATTTGGTATGTGTTAGGAAACAATTTCCCAACTGAGAGCTTCAAGACTGTCTTGGTTCCTGTGACTAACCTGTGGACGAGGAAAAACGCACGTTTTATAGTAAGAAGCAAGTGAAAGTAGTTTGGAGATCTTGGGACTTCTCACAGTTAAGAAGAGATAGGCTTTATTTTGTGATTTTACCAAAGGAATAATTTGATTTTGTTGTGTTGCGTCCCTGAACCATCTCATTGTGATGACTACCTGCTCCTCTTCATGTTTTGTCTTTCTTTTTACAAGATGCTTTCAAAGCAGAGTTTGGAACCACATTTCAAATGGCTGTACGTATTATCAATATCTGAGTGGTGCATACTGTTAACTGTTTTCAGTTAAATATTTATCATTGTAGGCAGAAATTTATTTTGTCGTACGACTCGCTTTTGGTCATGCTTGCCAGGTACTGACGTGCAGGTGCATTAATCTCACAGTGCAAGACTTTTTCTTGTTAAATTCTGTTATATTGTTATGAGCCTTTTTGCATGTAACAAGGCTGATCTGTGTTGTTTTAATTTCAGTGTTCTTTTCAATTCTGAATCCTTTGTCATTATTGATGTTTGTTTATTGTGCTTGGGAATTTGTTGTTGATGCATCTGATCAACGGGGATATAACAGTTTGTGGATGCTCGTTATATGTGAGGAAATATTCACCACAACATTAAAAATTAAAATTGTGGGTCTTAATGAGGTATATTTTTATACACTTTGTACTCGATACAAAATTGAATAGAAATCCTTCAAGTGGTACAGGCGATGAAGCATGAAGGTGGGTGGATGTGGACTCCAGGTTGTGTTGTACAAACTGACAGGAGATTGCATTTTTTTATGTGGGTGTAACAAGTAATGCTCTTTTACTGCAGGCATAATGAAATTACTATAGAGAGTCAGAATATACATGTTCTTTTGCCTTTTTTATTGATTTTTGTAGATGACTTATTCAGACACAGTAAGGAACAAGTATTATTGAGCCAAAAGACTGCTGTCCTTCCGTGCACTCGTAAAATTGCGGTCTAAATTGAATGAGCGTTAAGAGCTGAGTCTCTGCGAGTTTCAGTTCCGGCAGAAAATCTGTATGAAATGTGGTTTTATACTTTGTTTAAAGAGTAAGTTTATTGGAAGAATGGGATAAATTACTGAAAATTTGCAGCAGTGAAATGTAATTGATTGCGCTCCTGGTTTGTAATATTTTGGAGCCTGGTATTTACAGCTTGCGGTATGGATGGATGTAATGGACTCTTGTTTTCACTCATTATCATTGTAGTTCACATCAATTTCCGCACTAAATTATCTGAAGGATTTAGAGTACAGTGCAAGATCTACATAATTTGTCGTAACTTCTTCATGCTTTACCCAACATTGAATGTTCTGGTTGGCACTCTTTGTTCATATTTGAGATGCCCCACACTTTATTCTCAAACCAAGTCTGTATTCAGGAAGTCTGTGGTTCAAATTTTGGTCTAGGGACCAGTTATCCTGAATAAGGCTCTTTCCGATTTTCCTCAGTTCCTTAAATTATGCCATGACAGCGTCTTTTCACACTCAGTACTCATTAATTATTATATCAAGATGACTTTTCTGGGATGTAGTCTGGTAGAAGTTAACTGACATTTCATAGGTGCTTACTGCCTCCATCGTCATGATGATTTTTTAATCTTCATGCTCATTGTCGTTAGAACTTTAATCATTCATTGCTATATAGCTTGAGTTACTAACCGCATTGGTAATTAAACCACAAAACTACTGTATTTGCCTGAATACATTTAACATTTATTCTGCTTCCTCTCCGAAACCTTCCTCAGTTTTTTTTTAGGTTTTGCACTGGAAGTTACTGTTGAAAATGAATGCAAATGATATTGTTCGGAAATACTCCTAAAGAAAATGGTAAGAGTGGGGAAGATATTTTGAAGAAAGTATTTAATACTTGATAGTTGTTTACTATATTTAGAAACAGTTTGATAAATTTTCTGCATCTGATGCGTGAAAGACATCACTGCAGTTTAATCTTTCAAAATGTGAGTCTGCTTTGTATTCAGGAATGTACTAAATGTACGTACATTAGCCTGGTGTGACCACTCTTTTTGGATGCTGGTATCTGGTAGAGTTCAATGCACCAGACATTTATTAATATAAATGCCCTGTGTAAGCCTTTTTACTCATTCCAGACATTGTAATTTTTTGGGGGGGGGACTTTGAATCTTCAACACAAAATGTAGTGTTCTAATGTCTTGTGCAATGTTGGTAAGGTCATGATGTCATTTGGGTGAAAATGCAGTGTTAATAATGTCTGGAGAGACAGAGGTTACAATTCAGTTCATTCCCTTTCTGCCTCAGTTTGAAGACATATTGATGATCTTCCAGGTTACCGTGTGCCAAAATACTTTATGGTACGGCAACCTGTAAGGTGTTCAATATTCGTACCACTGTGGAAACTTAGATCGTACAGTGCCTAACATTTTATGAACTTGTGTAAACAACATGGTACATGTATAAAGTGAAGCTTTCTCAGCGACTGAAGTTGATGAAAGACTCTCGGGTTACAAGCCATGTCAGGTGGCTGAATGGTGAATAAACCACCTGATGTGGCTTGTAACCCGAGAGAGAGTCTTTCATCAGCGTGGAACGTTTTCCCTGTGCTGCACTTTTTACGTGTCTCCAAGATTTCTGGACTTCCTCTGTTTGTATGATGTATGTTAAAACACAAAAAAGATGTTCTTAACATTTTTTTTGTGTTTGATGCTTGTTGCAGACTGATCATTGAATGTGTTACTTTTAATAAGTAGTGCCCTTACTTTGTTATCCCACGTTCGAAATTTGGGTGTTTATCATGCGCTTGGCGGTGATAAACATAAATCAGTGTGATTTTTTTCTCATTCTATTGAGTGTCAGCTGTCATGTGGTAGCATGAGCGTCCATGTGCGCTGTGATTGATTTAGAGCATTGTGTTCCTAACTTTTATCACAGAGGATCGAGTGTTTGTATCACATTTCAGACGCATTGTGTACAAATGAGTGGAACTACGAAATTGCACGCATTTGTGTTGATTTTGAAGTTGCTGCACTTTCATGTTGAAATATTATTTTGTTTACTTATTTTTTTGTTATTTTACTGAGACTAAAATGAGCCAAGTTTTTGTATGTGACTAGGACATTTCTCTGTAGGGGATAAATTGGACTCATGTTCAGAATTTGAATAATGCACGTGATTAGCTTTAGGTCTTTTATACGATAATACATTCTTAGAACTGATCCAGGAAATTATTTAACTGTTTCAGTGCTATAATCTGACAACAGTTGTCTTCACTGCATCATGGTGGAAACATTGACTTCTTGTCAAGGACAGATTACATTGAAATAGAAAAGAGGAGAAAGACAGAAATACAATGTGATTTTGGGGGAGGGGTTACGCTGGCTAATGCGTACGACATTATGCCTAGGTTATGCGTTCAAGTAAATTGTATGAATTCCCTGAGTATTTTACTCAGGCTAGCCATAGTGAACAGTCCATGTGACCTGAGATGTGCTTGTCCTTGGATTGACACGAGACTCTTTCTACTGTGTCGGCATTTTGTAGATCTTTTCTTATGTGGACAGTGGCGGGTAGCTGTGCTTCGGTCGTGCGCACGTTTTCCAAGTGTCTTCATTGCTGTTTTGCGTATGTGATTGGCTTTGATGTTTGTTTATTGTAGGTACAGATAGATTATTTCAAAGCATTACGCCATTCACAGTCAGAAGTCACTTTTCCTTATTGACCGCTCTGAAAAATGTTTCATACTAGAGTTTTGTGTATTGGTATGAAACGTATATTTTATGTCATGTATAAACATTTTATACGCTCTGTTCTTTTTTGAAAAGTATTATTTTGAAATTAGACCTGAGCTTTATGTGAAGTATGTTCACATGTTTGGGAAAATGTGATTCAGAATTACGTGACATGTCTGTTATTAGCGCGAACCCCCCCAATACCAAAATTTGTCGAATCTGTTCGGTAATTTTAGACACAAAACTTTCTGACGTGTAAGCGATTCATGCCATTTGCTATGTTACAGTAGAGAGTAGGCATTTAACGGAGTGAAGGGGGTTATTAGATGTTTATAATGAATGATGGTAACTGGTGAAAGAAGAATATTTGTAAGTTTTTGGATGTGCTAAGTGGTTTGTATTTGGTAAGAGAAGAAACGGCTACTGTTAGGAACATTTAAAATGTCTCTGATCTGCATTTCACAGAAGCCAAGACTGTTTGTTGTCTGTTGTGACGTAACGTACGTTTTGAGGAGGGATGTGAGTCACAGTGATAGGACGTGTCCGACTCGTCATCCCTTACATTGGAGAGCTTCATCCGTGTTACAGCGTACTCATGTGTGTATATAGTTTCATGCTGACATTTTAATACTGGTTCTCTCGTTTCATACATTGACGGTAGTGTAATATAAAGCAACATTATTTCTGTAAATAATTAGGAATAGACTAAATTAAATGTGAAGAATGTGCATGGTTGAAAAAGAATTGGTTCATGAATAATGACTGATTTGACAAATAACACTTTGTATTTATTAAATTTTTTATGGTAACCCTGGCACTAGCCTTTGTTGTCTCGTGTATTTTAATGTTCCACCGTCATTACCAATGTATGTATGGCGTGTGCTTCCGTATAATTACGTAGTCTCTTTCTCGGACATTGTTTTATTGGCGTTCCGTTCGCCACTATGTACAGAATGTTCTGTTTCAAATGCAACCCTGCTACACACGAACCACTTTACAGAAAAGTGTGGAACTGGTGGCAATGTTGAATTCTTCCAGCCGCGTCTCGTTGTCGCAGTCGATGCACTGCTTGAAATGGGTATGGGTGAGCAGTGGCCCAGGAACCAGGGTGACTTTGACTTAAGTGTCATTTGGGCAACGGACGTGGACCTGCTTTTTTAATTTTATTTTTTTACTGTTATATGTGATTGTTCTTGGGTTGTATTTTAAATGGCGCACTCTGTACTTAAAAATGTGTGGAGAATTTGAATGACTGTTGGGGGGTGCGGTCTATTTTGTATGAGTATAATATTGAACATATTACGAACTGAAGTATCTTACACCTCTGTTTGTAATATGCGACACAGGGTTGGTCGTCATTGTTGAGCGCAGGTATGAAGCTGAGTTTTTGGAGGGTATGGCTCATGTTGTTATTCTTAAAACCTCATTTTAACTCGAGACGGTTGCATGAGAAATAAAATATTATTTATACGTTTAATATGAAATCGGAGAGAACCGTTGCCACCGAACT